GCAGCTTTTTGACTTTTTCCTGCTCTTACAACACAGGTGAGGTTGCCTCCCAACACCAATGATGAGGTAGATGAGGATCCCACTGGCAACAAAGCTCTCTGGGACAGGGGGCTGCTTAATGGAGCATCGCAGAAGGTAACCTTTCACGGGGTACATGTGGTTATTGAGGGGAAAGAACATGCTGCTTTCCTGTGAAATCCTCTGCAGTTCTGCTCCTACACATCTCACTGTGCAGTGGGTGATGAGTTGTCACTGGGAGCCAAGTTCTGTTTCTGAAACCACGAGCGATGCCTGTTGAGTGAGGTCTGATTGAAGCAGTGTGCTCGTTTTCTTTTCCTGCTTTCTCTCATTATATGCATCTGTTTGTCCAGCTCAAGAGGGTTATTCAGCACATGCTGAGCTCTGCCATCTGGTCACAGGTGGAAGGCTCTTCCTCTTTAGAAAGCAGTCTCAGAACTAGCAGGTGGCGGAATTCATTCTGCTTCTCCTCTATCAAGCCTCCTGATGCTTTTGTATGAGCTGAAGAAAACACTCGCTTCTGTGGTTACTTTCAGGCTGAAGTGATTATGAATTACCACGTGGGAGAGACAGTGCTTTCATTACAGAAGACCACGCTGATCCCAGGAGGCTCTGAATCTCTTGTCTATACTACCTTATCAGGGGGAATAGGAATCTTAGTTCCTTTTACTTCTCATGAGGTAAGCAAGCTCCATCTTAACGCTGCAGAACTGTGCTTCTGTCCCCAACCAGTGTGTTAATTTGCTTCGTCCCTTGGGGGGAACTGTAGGGCTCTGCAGTCTGTGAAAACCAGGGCTGCAGGAAAGCCTGTGGCAGGCTCTGATGCAAGGAAGAAGAGAAGGAGCTTTTAACTCTTCTCAAAACCAATGCAGGAGTTAATGAGCTTTTCTTGTAGCACTGCTGCTGTAAATCTGCTCGCATTTTGGAAAAGTAGCTCTGGGGGGACTTGGTATGATCAGTGAGATCATAAAGGCTGCTTTGTGCAGGAGCGTGTAGCCCGCCAGCCCTATTCATCAGGCACTGATGCTTCCAGTCACAAAGATAGTGTTCTCTGCTCTGTTTGCTTGGCCTCCTGGATCGGTGCACATCAAGAGCTGCACCTCTGTGCTGCCTGGCTGCTGCATGCCCCAGTTCTTGGGGGCTGATCCTGGCCGAGGTGCCACAGTTGCTGTAGTTACTGCTGCAAGTGCGTGCAGCATGGAACTGGGGAGGGCATAAGAACCACCAATCTCAGCTGTTGTTAGGGGCAGTGCTCAGCCACTGCAGCAGTGCCTCACTGCTGGCTGATTTGCTTTGTAACAAGCTGTTCTCTTACCTCTCCTTACCTCCTCAGGATCACGACTTCTTCCAGCACGTGGAAATGCACTTAAGATCTGAACATCCTCCTCTCTGTGGGCGAGACCATCTCAGTTTCCGCTCCTACTACTTCCCAGTGAAGGTAAATCTGAGTGTCTGGGCTCAGCTGGTCACACCAGGTGTGCTGTGGGATGTGGAACCTCACAGGCCTTGCACGAGGTTGCTGCTCAGTGGGAAAGCCTGCTAATAGTGACTGGCAGTAATAGAAGCTACTGCTGCTCTCTGTCCAAGCAGAGAGGGTGTGCTTGTGCTTGGTGAGCTTGCAGACTCTGTGGGCTCTGAGACCTCTGACGCTGTACTGATGGTGCTTGCTTTTTGCTCACCTTGTGCAGCCTCCAGCCTTGCCTGTGCTGCGTCTGCACCCTCTGCTAGCTGAGGCTCACTGACCCATCGGATCCGTCTTCCCTTGTGTGATTCTTCAGCTGAGCCAAGGCTTTCTGGGTTTCTCCTTCATTAGTCAGGCTGGCCAGTAATTAGTTTGATGCTAACTGCTGCTATTCAGCAGATGAGGTCACTGAGCATGCTCTTGTTTCCAGGACGGGATTAAGAATCTCCTGGGAACAAACTGTTTGTTGCCATTTTTCCCCTTTTAGGCAGGGTTCAGTGCCTCTGTGCTGTGTCGATTCAATGCTCTCCTCCTTGCTTCTCCAGAATGTGATCGATGGGGACCTGTGTGAGCAGTTCAACTCCATGGAGCCCAACAAACAGAAGAATGTGGCCGAAGAGCTGGACCGGACCCCACCCGAGGTGTCCAAGAAGCTGGAAGACATCCGCACACGCTATGCTTTCTGAGCAGCAGCTGGCAGGAGCAAAGCTTCTTGCTGGGCTCCTGTGGACACTCTTCCAAGCACAGTTGGAAGGAGGAATGTGTGTTTTGTTTCCCTTTTTCTAAATACTGATTTGCTCCTCTTGGTTTATGTTTCAAAGTATTGCGATTCCTCTGATAAATACCAGTATCAGATAGTAGGTCTCCCAACACATCCCACTGCTTACGTGAAGGCTCGTGTGCTATCCTGGGTTCCAGCCAGAGAGAATCTCTCTTGGGAATTGCCCAAGGAAGGATGCGGTCTGACCCCTCAGCTGATCCCTGGATCAGCTCCTCAGTGTCATTCACCCTTCAGGCCAAGGGAGGCCAAGGGTGACTTGTCCTGGGGGTGGATCGGGCTGAGCTTCTGTAGGATCAGATGGGTTCTTCCCATCTTTTTGGTAAAGGAAGCAGCTTGGGCCTGATGGAAAGCTGCTGGGTTCCTTTCAGTAGTCGGTGGGGGAGAGGTGTGGGGTTCCACCAGCCCTGGGAGCAGCCTGGGGGAGGTAAGGCTGGGGGAGGGTGCACTGCCATGCATGTCCCCAGTGTTGCCTTCTGAACGAGTTTTGGATTCACCATTTTTGACTGTTTTCTCTGTAAATAAGAGTTTTGTACAATGTTGTCTCTTGGGGGCGGGGAAGAGCAAGGCCTGAGTCTGGGACTTGATTTGTTTCATAATAACTTTGGCAAGAGCAGTGTCTCCAAGCTGTGACCGAGTAGCACATGCAGAATAAAAGCCTGTTTTTTAACTAGTCTGGCTCTGGGGCTCACTCCTCCACGGCAGCTGTGCTGACCGGGGCGCTGCAGGCGGGGTGGAGGCTTTCTTGCCCCATCCTTTGTGCCCTTTCTGGCCTCCTGCTTAAGGATGGGCTGAACCCTTCGCCCCCCAGCACCCTGCAGACCACTTCTTACCCTGCCTGGAGGGCGTCGTGCATCCAGGGCTCCCAAACGGAAGGTGGTTTGCTGCACGTTCTGCCCGCCAGCCTCTGCGCCCAGAGATGCTGTCGATGCTGGGCAGTGCTGCCGGGGGATGCAGGCAGTTTGCCTCGAGGCAGCACCAGCGGCGGGCAGGGAATGCAGTCGGACGGCTTTCTCTCACCCCGCAGCAGATGCGGACCTCGCTGCTGGTGAAATCCCTCTGGATACCGGACCGGGTCCTTGCTCCTCTCCTCCAGCCCAGCTCGCGGTGCCGGGAGGGGACGCGGGGGCTGTGCCCAGGACTGCTTGGCAGCGGATCCGCCGTGGCCCTGACGTGGTGCCAGGGGAATCCCAGCGCTGCTCGCGGGCGGCCGCGCATTCCTTCCCACGCCTTTCCCTGGGAGCGCTGACCTGAGTTCGGTGCTTCCTTCCAAACCCCCCCCTCCCCGCCCCCGGGCGGCCCTGCGCAAACTGTCCTAAAGGCTTTGGGTTGGGGGGTGGGAGCTCAGCGCGGCGTGTGCCAAATCACCCAGCGGTGGAGATGTCCCTTTGAACGCCAGGAGACCTTCGGGGCATCCTGCGTGGGGCTGTGCCATCCATCCGAGCCCACCCAGCCGGGCATCCCCGAGGTGCCAGCGGGGGTTTGGGGGCACCGTCGGTTTCTGCGCTCACTCCGCGGGCGAGGGGGGGCACCCAAACGGTTCTCTCCGTGCCCCCACCCCCAACCCAACCCAACACGCCCCCGCCGCCGCTCCCCGCTCCCGGCCCGGCCCCGCCGCCGCCCCGCCCGCCCCCCGCCCGCCTCCCGGCCCCGTCGCCTCCGCCACCGCCCGCGGGGAGACGGCCCGGAGCGCAGAGCCAGGTGGGTCCGCGGGGCACCGCGAGTGGGGCGGCGGGACGAGGAGGATGGGGGTTGGAGGGCGAGGTCCCGCGTGGGGACACTGCACGGCCCCCACGTGGGGACATTGCGCATGGAAACGGCACGGCCCCCGCGTGGGGACACTGCGTGGGGACGGGGCGTTGCGCGGGCACGCTGTCCGGGGACACGGTGTGGCCCCTATATGGGGACATGGCGTAGGGGACCTGGCACGGGGACGTGGCACAGCTCTCACCTGGAAATGTGACACCGCGTGGAGACACGGCGCGGCTCCCCGCGTGGAATAAAGGCGCGGGATGCTGCGTGGGGAGGTGGTACGGTCACCACTTGGTGGAGCGCACTGCGTGGGGGGACGCTGGGGATGTGCCCGTGGGGGGGCACGGCACCAAACGCTGCGTGGTAGTGTGACACTGGGGTATGGCACAGGGATACGGCATGGGGACATGGCACAGCCCCCACATGGGGACGCTGTAGGGGGACACTGGGAATGCAGACACTGGGGGCAAGGAATGGGAACCTGACACAGGACACGGGGACATGGCACAGGGTGCTGCATAGGGACACTGCATGGGAACATGGCATGATTCCTGCTCGGGGACATGGCTCACGGATGTGATACATGGGGACCTGGCAGAGGGCGCTGCCTGGGGTCACAGCCTGGCCCTATCTGGGTTGGGATGTGGTGCAGGGATGTGCCCCTGCTTTGGATGGGGATGCTGTGTGGTCTCTTTGCTTGGGGACCTGATGTGTCCCCCTTCATCTGACCATGGGGACGCCACCCCTCCATTTGTGAGGGACACCATGCAGTGTGCTACCACCGTGTGCCCCCCCCTGGGGTCCCGGAGGCTGCAGCCGGGGCTCTTCTCCCCCTGCAGCTCCCACCCCACACCCAAGGGACCTTATAGGGGGCTGTCCCGTTCCTTGTGATATCCCAAAGACATACCACCTTCCCACAGGACAATCCAACTGTGGCGGCCGGGGAGGGGGCCTGACCCCCCCCTATGGCAGGGGACAGCCGTCGGGGGCCACCGCAGAGCACCATTCCTTGTCAGCCCATCCCAAGCACCCAGGAGGCCACCTGCACCCATCAACCATGTAGGCTCCACCGCTGGTCACCATGTACCAGCGCTACGCGGCCGTTCTCTGTGAGTACACATCACTGGGAGGTGGGGGGGACACCCCTGGAGGGGGGTGGGTGACAGATGTCCCCAAGGGGTGATGCTGCTCTGCAGGTGTCCTGGCCGTGCTGGGGCTGGAAGTGGCTGCGCTGGGGGAATGCGAGCTCGCCCGACTGCTGCAGGAAAAGCTGCGGTATGACATGCGCCTGAAGTACATGGTACGGCCCTGTCCCCTGCCCTGCCACCCTGCCACGTGTCCCCAGGCTCCCCATGCCCAGAGTTGGGTGTGCAGTCAGAGCAACTCTCTGGTGACCCTATGAGGTGGCCCCCAAAGCAGGGTGCCTGCTGTGGGCACAGTTGTGGGGACCTTGGTGGCACAGTTGGTGGGATGTTGGTGGCACAGGTATGAGGACCCTGGTGGCATAGATGGGGGGGACCTTGGTAGCACAGCTGGTGGGACACTGGTGGCACAGATATAAGGACCTTGATTGCACACGTGTAGAGACCCTGGTGGTGCAGATATAGAGATTCTATTGGCACAGACATGGGGACTCTGGTGACACAGATGTAGGGACCTTGGTGGCATAGATATGGAGATACTGGAGGCACTGATGGAGGAACCCTGGTGACACAGCTGGTGGGACCCTGATGGCACAGCCGCTGGGACACTGGTGGCACAGCTCTGGGGGCACCGGTGGCCCTCACACTCTTCTCTACCTCTCCAGAAGCACAACTTCCCCATTAACTACACTCTCCGGGTGCAGCACGAGGAGGTGCTGCGGACAGCCAACGTCACCCGCCTGGTGAGCTCACGGTGGGGACATTCGGTGACAGTGGGGGGCAGGGAGGGGAGGTGGGGGTCTCCAGCCACCAGAGTCTCACCCACCACCACCATCACCCCCCTTTCTCCCACAGCGTGATGGAAAAGTGTCGGAGGCATCGCTGCGCTACCTGTGGTTCCACGCCTGTTCCCAGGCAGTGCTGCACATCCTCGAGGTGCTGCCGGAGAAGCACCCGTCCTATGGATACACGCAGGAGCTGAGCCAGCTTTTGGATGCCCTGGGCATGGAGTACAGTGGGTACCGGCAGGTAGGGCTGCCCCACCGCAGGGGGGATGGTGTGGGCAGAGGGATGTGGGTCGACCTCACCCTGCACAGCCCTGCAGTGATGCTGGCTCCAGATGTGGGGCTGTGGGGCAGCGCTGGGGAGAAGCTCCACATCTGGCATTGGTGGTTCAGTGGTAGAATTCTCGCCTGCCACGCGGGAGGCCCGGGTTCGATTCCCGGCCAATGCAGTGTTGTAAGCCTTTTGCACCCTTCTTTCTTGTCCCCTGCCCCCCTCGTTCTGTGGCAGTGGGTTGCTGGCCTCTCTCTGTGTTCCCCAGACTGTGGAACCATCCTCTTTGCCCCTCTTTGCCCCTGCCAAGTTTTTTGTGTTTACTCTGAAGCCTAATGACAGCACCTGCTTAGCCACAGAGGCAGGGGGTGCTGCCACGTGGTGGGGCTGTGGGGTCTCCTCCTGTCCCAGCAGCCCCACTGCTGCCACCCCATCCCAGCACTGCACCAAAGGCTGCAGTGCAACAAAACCCGTGGGTGAGCACTGCAGGGCACCAAACATCTGGCATTGGTGGTTCAGTGGTAGAATTCTCGCCTGCCACGCGGGAGGCCCGGGTTCGATTCCCGGCCAATGCAGAGGAAAGCAAACATTTTTTGCCCCCTCCTCTGGATTGAGCAGAGAGGCCCGGAGGTGCCCCTTAGGTGGGGGGCACCGCAGTCCCCCTCCTGTCCGCCCCATGGGGTGTTGGTGGCAGTGGGTCTCAGTGCTGGGGGTCAGCCTGGGTGTGCAGCCCTACTCACACGGTGTCTGTGAGTTCTTTTGGACCCCGTTAACTCTGAAGCCTAATGACAGCCTCTCTTAACCAAGCTGGTTTTCAGGTGGAGGGAATGGGAGCTGTGTGTGCCAGAGTTCCCCTGGCTGGGTGATGGCACATAGTTTGGTGGGGAAATATTGGTGGTAGGTGGATGGTTGGGCTTGAGTGATATCGGAGGTCTTTTCCAACCATGGTGATTCTATGGGACAGTCTGCCTGGGTGGGAGCCAGCAGTTGGTGGGAGCCCCACATCTGGCATTGCTTGTTCAGTGGTAGAATCCTCCTCCGCCGTGTGGGTTCAACTCCCGACCAATGCAGCAGCCCAAACTCTTTGCCCCCATCGATGACATGGCTGTGCCACATCCCCTGTCCCCGCAGAGCGACGTGGACGCGGTGGTGGCCGACCTGGTGAAGCAGCTGCACAGCAGCGATAGCCGGCTGAAGGCCGTGCGCCCCAAAGCACTGCTGGACAACTGCCTCAAGGTCCTGCGGATGCTCTTCGGGGCACACTGTGAGTGCTGGGGGGGGACAGCAGGGATGGGGGTCTCCATGGTCCCTTTCCCCTCGTGACCCCCGTCTCTTCTGCCCAGGTCGGTGGGACTCCGCTTAATGCCGACCCATTGAGGAAGAGGAGGATGAAGGCACACTTGGGGGGTGATGGCAGTGCCCGCTCCCTTTTCTTTTGTACAATTTTTTTAATTCCCACTCCCTCGGCTTTCATTAAGCACCACGTAACGTCCTAGCGCTCGAATCTTAACTGCAATAAAGAGAAGCAGAGCCATCACGCCTGCCGCGTCGTTTGGGGAGCCATTCCCCTCCCTCTGGCTTTCCGAAGGAAATACGGATATATAACTCCAGATGGACCAGATGTTGGCTATCTCCGTGTCTTGCCATGACCCCAGCTTTCCCAGAGCATCCCAGTGGCAAATAGTTGGCCTCACGATTCTCCAAGAAACCTCTTGAGATGTCTCTGCATCTCCTGACTTGCTATAGGAGGATGCTCACGTGCCCCCGAGCTGGGACTGCTGATAATAAAAGCAACCTCACAGATGCTGGAGTGGGAAGAATGTTTGCTGGTGGGAAGCGCAGAAAACAAACCATCATCAGCGCCAGGCAGGCAGGATGCCTGATGGGGGGAGCTGGGCTCAGTGGGTGAGGGCTGTGGGATGCCAGAGGGCTGTGGTTTCAGGGCTCCTGCTCAGAGCAGTGGGTGGCTCCATCCAGCCCTCGTGTCTGTGTTTACCCTATAGAATAAGCTGTAGCATCCTTCCCCAAGGACTTCACTCCCTGTGGCCACTCCTCCCCATGGCCATCCTACTTATGGACATCCCCCCCATATACATCTTTTCCTACGGACACTCATCCCCATGGACATCCCTTCCTGTATTTATCCATCTTAGTGGACATCCCTCCCTATGGACATCCCTCTCCCTGGACATCAACCCCCACGGACACCTTTCCCAGTAGCTACCCTTCCCCATGGACATTTCTCACCATATATATCCCTCTCCATGGACATCCCTCACCTTGGGCAACCATCCCCATGAATATCCCTCCCCATATACACCTCCCTATGGACAACCCTGGACATCCTACCATGGACATCCTTCCCTGTGGACACCCCTCACCCTATACATCCTCCCCATGGACATTCGTCCCCATGGACATCCCTTTCCAGGTCCAGCCCTTTGCCAGCTTGGTGGTCCCATCATATAGGGCTTCCTAACTCCATCAAACAAGCCTGTCTGTGGCCATCAGCAGCTTTTATTGAGCTCAGCACCTGGGACATGGATGCTGTGGTCACCATGGCAGTCTTCGTCCCTTCCAGTCCCAGAATGTGCCATTGTTGTTGGTGGAGAGGTTGGCAAGGACTTGCAGGACGCCTCGGGTGCTTTCTTCCAGTGTCACTGGTCCCTGTGGAGTCAAGGATATGGGGTGAGCCCTCTGGACACGAGAAAGGACTCTCAGTCCTGACTATCTTTTATTGGAAAATTCAATTAATGGTGTATAATTAATAATCCATCGGTCCCTCCACACATTGAGTCTCTGGTCTCATCAGCACTGGGCACCGTTGTGGGGTGTGGGAGCCCTACGGTGCTGCTTCCCCTTGTGTTTGTGATGTAGCTCTGAGCATGGGGCTGGGGTGCCCTCTGCTGACACGCAGCTCTGATGTAAATGGAAAAATAATGCCTGAAATCGGAGGATTTGGTGGGAGAGCTGAGAACTGAGGCACGGCACCCATGTGAACCAGGTGGGTTCTGTGGGATGCCTGTTCTGTGGGATGCCTCTGGGGATGGGTGGCTGTGGGGAAGAGGTGCCCATAGGAGGAACATCTGTGGGGAAGGGGTGTCCTTAGGGAAGGGGTGTTCATGGGGAACGTTTGCCCATGGGAGGAGAATTAATGGGTAGGACTTCCATGGAAAGGGGTGTCCATGGGTAGAACGTCCATGGGGAAGGGATGTCCATGGGGAGAGATACCCATGGGAGGGATATGTATGGGTAAAGTTGTCCCTAGGGAGGTCCAAAGGGAGGGATGTATATGGAGAGGTGTAGCAATGGGTGGGATGTCCATGGGGAAAGGTATGATGGGCTAGGATGTCCATGGGGAGGGATATCTATGGGTAGGATGTCCATGGGGAGGGATATCCATGGGTGTCCATGGGGAGAGATATCAACAGGTAGAATATCCATGGGAAAAAGGTATCCATGAGTAGAATGCCCAAGGGTGCAGATGCCTACTGGGAAGGGATGTCCATGGAAAGGGGACATACTGATGGGTAGGATGTCAATGGGGATGAGATGCCCACGGACACATTATCAAACCAAGCTGGTGGTGGCCTCCACATCTGCCCCACCACTCACCATCCCATCTCCTGGTGGCGGTACCACGCAGCCAGGATCCACGGACACGCAGAGGATCCCACTGTCACCATATTCCAGGGCCAGGCACTTGGTGAGCATGTTGAGAGCAGCCTGAGGAGACACCACCATCACAGAATGGCACCACTGTGGCCAAAGGTGGGACTCCAAAGAGGGTGACCCCCAAACCTCACCCCGAACATACCTTGCTGCAGCGGTAGGACACGTCCTGCCTCTCACCCCATGCCTCCACCACCTCGATGGAGCCCAGGATGCTGGAGATGTTGATGATGGCTGCTCTGCCACAGCTCAACCCCTGCCCACTCTGTGCCTCTGCAGCCTCCTTCAGCAGAGCCATGAATGCCTGCGGGGTACAGACATCACCACCCCATCCCCGTCCTCATCCTTTGGGGTGGGAGGTGCACATAGCCCTACCTGGCTGGTCTGCAGGGGCCCGATGGTGTTGGTGGCGTAGATGAGGGCCATGTTCTCAGCTGTCTCAGTGGCCAGAGTGCTGCGACGCCTGGCCCCGGTGCTGTTGATCAGGAGGTTGAGGCCAGAACCACGCAGCTCCTTCTGCACCCTGCCCACCGCAGCCTGGATGCTGCTGGGGTCTGTCACATCTGTGTGGGACATGGGGACATGCTGGGGGGCTGTGCTGGATGCAGGATGCTTTGAGGTGGCTCCCAGTCATCCATCTGGTCCCAGAGGAAGGGCTGCTCTTGACTGAGTCACGCTTTCTGCATGTGACCACCCACGGGTGCACCTACCTAGAGGCAGGATCACGACGCTGGGGTTGCACAAAGCCATCTCATTGAGAGCCTGAAGGGAGAAAAGGAGGGTCATGGAGTGGGGGCAGCCCCATGCCCATGCAGCAAGTTGGTGACACAGCCCAATGATGCCAGCGGAGATATTAGGGGTCAGTCCCTGCTGCTCCGCAGGTCCCACTTACAAAGCCACCACCCCCAAAAGTCACCGACCCCAAAACCAACTCCTCTGAAACCACCACCTCCAAAGTCACCATCCCCAAAAACCACCACCTTCAAAACCACCACCCCCAAAGTCACCAACCCCAAAAACCACCACCTCCAAAACCATCACCTCCAAAACCACTGCCCCCAGAACCACTATGGATGTTGCCACCATCATAAAGGTAACCAGAACCCGCCCAGGACACCAAACTTAAGATTCTCTATACCAAAAAAAAAGCCAAAAAAACTCCCAAACTCATACATCCTCCCCTTCCACCTTACATATATAAAGCATATTCCCCTTCCCAACCTCACCCAAACCCATGTCACAGGGCAGCAGCACTTGCAGATGGTGACACTCCCACCACCCCTTTGTCCCCAGCGCGGGGACCCCCCTGTGCTCACCTTCCCATCGGGGTCAGTGCAGGCTGCAAAGAGCCACTGCGGTGGGGTGGGCAGCTCCAGGAAGCGTTTGAGCAGCCCCAGCCCCATGCCCCCATCGCAGCCCGTCACCAGCACGCTGCGGGCACTCAGCCCCTCCATGCTGCAATGGGTTGGGCAGGGCAGCCACCCCCACACCATTGGGAAATCACCCCGTAATTATCGGGGCGGTGCTGGTGACGATGTCAAAACCCCAGGGAGGGAGCAGAGATGTCACGTTGCAATGGGATCCCACCACCCATGGTTCCTTTTGGTGGAACCACCCAACAATACTGTTGGGTTCAACCATAGTGGGACCACGACCCTCCAGTCCTCATTGACCACCATGGGCGAGGCTATTAATTACAGTACAACCTTTATTAATACTGGAATCTTCACAGTGCATTCGTTACTTGTAGCAGTGACTATTGAAATCAAGGGCTGGGTGGGAAACTGGGGGGAAGGGGGGGCAATTACCACAAAAAAA